ACTACTAATAATTAAAATTTAACAATACTCCAAGCACCACAGCAACATTTTTTAAGAACTGCTAGCCAAATCTGCTAGGATAACTGACTAGGTCATTTTCAGGATTTTAAAAGAGGACTAACATGAACAAAAAAAAGGCAAGATAGGTAACAGACTCTTCAAAGCCTATCAACAACCAAAATGCAAAGATATACATTCTGTTTAAAAGAGAAAAATTATTTTACGTGCAGAAAATAACACACATAATTTTGTGGGTGTTCATATAAAACTTTGAAAGACCTTGCAGTTTGTTTCCAGCAAGAAGCTCCTGGTGTTTAACATCTAAGTCACATATAAGTTCTGAAATACAGCAAAAGTTACGTTAAATGAAAGTACTGCCTTGAGATAGAGCCCCATTTCAGGTCCCATTTGTCCTGCCATCCGCACGCTGCCCCAGGGAAAAATAATTTCTGCAAGTTCATCCAAATTAACATAGATTTGCTTTTCTCTCACTGACTGTTTGGACACTGGCGCCCAGAAGCACCGAGATATTGGAGTGCTGCAAGCACAGAGGGCTGTTTGGAATAAAAATTTTACCCTTATTTAAGAAAGCTTTCTTGTACCCCTAGGAAGCAGGCAAAGCCCATTTTTCAAGTAGGAGCTGGAGACATTGATCGCTACAAGATTTTGAATGGCTGGGTACAGCCCTGAAATCGCCCAAGTCTTTCTCCAGTGCTCCGAACACTGGTGGTAAACTGAGCGCTGGGAGTCAGTCCTGGAGACCTGCCTGGGTCCCACACAAGCCAAGAGGCTCCTGATGTCCCCACGTGCCTCAGGGCACACTGCTGGACCCAGCTGGCCCCGAGGACCACTGGTGTGAGCAGCCAGAGAGGTTGCACCTCACTGCTCTGCCCCTGGGGAAGCCACCATGGGTACAAGGCAGCACCTTGATGTCCCCCATGGGGCCGCACCAGAGCAAGGGGTGGCTTGCTGCGGTGCCCCGCTTGCTGTGCAGGATGCAGCCACATAGCAGACACACTGAACAGCGAGCTGACATTAAAAACAGACTTAAAAAAAGAAAACCTGCTTAGGGCTTGATCTGCTGTAATCAGCGGAAAGAATCCCAAGGACTTTGATGTGGACCAAATCAAGCCCCTGGAGGACGTTCATGGTAAATCATTATTAATATAATGAGTGCAATTTCTGTGCAGCAGCTCATGCCTGTTTATGGGTATATGAAAATTGCCAGCTTTTCACATAAAACAAAACGAGGAGAATGGGAGACAGACCACAGTGTTAGCCAATAAGCCACAGTAGCCACTCTCCTTCCAATCTGTGTACATTTAAAGAAACTGGGCACTTAAAATGACAGGAAATTCCTCCGGTGAAGCTCCCTTAATTAAGTGGTTTGAGGTATCTCCAAATCTGAACAGAAAAGCAAGCCCTTTATTCATAGCAGGCAATAAAACACCTGAACACCTGTGCTAGGAAAGACCTGGCAGGTACCCTGCTCCCTTGGTACCTGGATTATTTGCTTATTGTTTATTATATCCCTTGCCTTAGTTTTCACCAATTGTAATCATTTAGGAGGAAACAGTATGATTAACAGTACACAAGCATTTTTTTGAATTAATCCTTTAAATACAAATTCTTCGTTGGTTATGTGATGGCTCCTTGGAAAAAGCAGTGTGGCAAAAGAGTAAATGTGAAAATCCTCCTTAAGTTTCCTCTGCAAATCACTGCTCAGTCACAATTTGCTTAACGTAATTCTCAGCACAAGCAACTGAAGGAGGT